GTTTGTGAACAGTTTCCCATGCAAGTGATTGGCAAATGTCCTGCGTCTACCAAATCAGCAGAGACAAATAAACATGCAGTCATCATCTGACTCTAATGGTGTTTAAATTTATGAGTTATGCACATGAGAATGAAGCTTTTCTGGAGAAGACGTTACCTCATGAAACAACTGTTTGTCCTGCTTTTTTTAAATGATTTTAAAACTATGCTTATACTTTAAATTACTACTTTGGACTGACGCAGTATACCAGTTTTAATAATGCCTTAAAATCTTGATCTGGACATTTCATTTCCTGCACCCTAGGGATATATCTTCATTAACTTATTGATAGTCTGGGTTTGGGTCCTTCCTCCTTGGTCTTCAACTTTGAGATATGAAAGGTCTTTTTTAAGCTTTTTAAAGTCTTCCAGTATGCAGTAAGCCTTGAGGGTTGATGTTAGCCTGCCTCATTGCATAATTCAGAAGTCAGGGTGAAACCAGAAGTTGCCATTTTTAGCGTAAAGGTTGTTAGAAGGAATGGTGTTGATTTTCCACATGGCAACAGGGGTTTTGGAAACACGGGGCAGATACCAGAGGGATAAAAGAAATCCGACTGAAAACAGCCATAGCAGGATCATTTCTACATCCAGAGCGCGAGATGAACACAAAACAGTAAGTGTAGAACAAAAGGATGCATGTAAGAGAGTGAGACAACAGAAACAAAGAGAGAAGTAAGGGTGAGCCTGCCACTGAGAGAAAGAATGAGTGAGATTTAAAAGAGAGGGGAAAAAGAGGGAGAGAGCGAGCGGTATCTTTGGGAGCAGGACGACCCATGTGACTCGGCCGGCCCCTCTTTGTGTTTCCCACACAGTCTGACGTGACCGAGGCTATATCCACACATTCACAAGGGCCTGTGTCTGAAAACTTCCCCCTCCTTATGATTCATAGCTCAGTGAAGGGCACCATGTTTGCTTTTGGCGCTGCCAGCTGCACATGGCATCGCCGGGCTCCCTCCTCTTCCTCAGACTCTCAGAGCATCGCGGATCAGATCAGGGCTGATGTTGGAAACTTTCTCAGGATGATGGAGAGGTTTCATTTTTCACCGTGAACACGCTCTCCATTTCCCTGCCCATCAAACACGTTCATGTTTACTGCACATGTGGTTATGTTTCATATGTTTTCTGCATGAGGGACTGTGGGAATTATCAGATAACACGGTCTCACATAAGAAAATTACCTATTCAGGATGTTGTTGCCATGGGAACAGGTATAATTGGCATTCATGTTCAGATTGTATACATGCTTCATGCAAACCAGGATGGTAATTGGGCATTAAACTGTTTGTTTTTATTATCAGATTTATCTAAACTTCACTGTGCATTATATCAAATATGGTACCCATAGCGTGATCACTGCTGCATTCACACACTAACACTCCACTCCACATTAGCCCTTTAATCATTGAAAATCTTATATACAAACTGTTCGATATTTTTAAAAAACAGGAATTAATTTTCAAGTCATGGAGTGAGAAATTCTTGCTGAATCCAGATTTTAGTGTGCTCATAACGCGTGGTCTGTGGTATTGTATAGTGAGCAGGTTGACAAAGGGAGTGGGTCCTCCTCATCTTGTCTGGGTTCTCCCACCATATGTCAATCTACTTAGTCCATGGCTACCACCTTGATTGTTTTGGCTAGCTGTAGCAGTCCTCCCAAAGATAAATAGACAGTTTCAAAAACTTATAAAATTCAACATTTGTTGTGAATCCAAAAACATTAGATGTCTGTGCCTTTTTGTTTTTTTGTTTTCCTTTTTAGTTTCATAATCAATAAAATGTTTATACTTGTAAAACATGCACCTAGTCTATAAAATATCTTTTTTGTTGTTGTTTGTTTTAAGGTTTTTTTTTTTGTTTGTTTTTTGTTTTTATAACAGCATTATTATGAGAAATATATTTGAGTACAAATTGCTTCAAGGTTACATTATACGTACCTGTATGAAGACTAGGTTTACAGTGAGTGAGTTGACCTGCTTGACCACACCATCCATCCAACAAACGTAGGACAGGACTGGATACATTTACCAAAGTACTTGGTACCAAAAGGAATTACCCTCTCTTAAACCAGGGTACCCTCTCTAAAACCCATCAGCAAAAACAGGAGACAAAAACAAATTTAATATGCCATCAGTAAAAACAAGTTATTTGGAACCATTAATCCATTAATCCAATTAATATCAATTTGTTACATATAATCTTTTTTCAAAGCACCAGTGCTATATCATTGTTGATATGATTTGCAGTTTTTGGACACCCTTTTGAAATTGCATGACTGTCCTATGATTCCATGTTAATGCAACAGCAGTAACACTTCTCAGGAGTTCAGAGGTTCCAGTTTGCTAACAGGATGTGCTAACATGATAATATTCTCTAGACCTGAACCTCAGTAACTTGCCACCTATTAGGCAAGCGCTGTTGTTGATTTCTTCCATTTAGTTTCATCCACAGGTCTGTGGTGAGTCACTCTCTCCAAGATAAGGCTTCGCCAGCTTTTGTGATGTGCTTGTCAGCCAACATCAGTCTGATTAGCTGCACCTGTACGCTTAGCTTAGAACCTAATCTCAAAGTACTTCAGTAATGTTTTTATTATTTGCATGATTGCCATGCAATGGTCCAGTACCCAAAGATTACCTGTAATGCGATTTAGGATACAATCTTGCTGTTTAGCATAGTAACAGTCTGCTATTGAGAAATAACAGACTGTTGCTGTGGAGTATTTCACCAATCAGAATATCATACTTAAAGCAGCTGTGTGATGCCTGTTGGTCTTATTTAGGGCATTAATTAAATGGAAATATGGAAATTAAATTTCCCTAAACATCACAACAACAGTCATAAGACAACCTTTCAGCTGTTTGCAACCAAAGTGAAGTTAACCTGTGAGTGATCAACAAACGCATCTGCTGTTTGGATTTGTTGAATCCTCAAAATAATTCTTAGGAGCCTCTGAGTTATTTTCAGTGAAATGAGAGGATGTAAAAAAAACATATATGTGACATACTGTATGTTACTGCTGTGCAAATGGGCCAGATATATGTCAATCAAATAGGATCAGTAGGCCTCCATAGCCACTAAAAATCTGTCTAAATAAAACAAATAGCCTGTTTCTAATATTAATTCCCTTTTTTGTAGATACGGTTCAGACTCTAAATTTAGCCTGAGATAGACAAATACCTAAAGAATATTAAAGTTTAATTGCTTTTTTTTTTTTTAAGTGCAGCGTTCACCACTTTCCCACAGCTCTCCAAAGATCACCTGCCATTCAAATTCAGTTCAGTGTGACAGGAGGACTGGAAAAACAAGCTGATTTTGTTATTGTATGATACAGATATTCTTATACATATGCATATCAGCTGCATAAGTTTGTGGCTGCTGAAGCCCACTTCAATAAGAAAGTGGTAAGACAGCCTATGCAAAGTCAAAGATGTCACTAAGTGACCAATTTTCCTGCTGTTTAAATGATATTTAAGTTCAGATTAGCCTCTTGTCAAGACAAGACAACACTCAGATACCTGTTAAACTGAGCTGAAGTAATTTACATCATCATTGTACACATCAAAATATACTTACAGATATCATGATCAATCATCAGAGAGATAACCAGTAACAAAGCAGCATGTTAACTACAGTTTGACCTAGATTGACATTCAGACTATTTAATAATGTTGTTGATGTCAGTAACCACTTAACCAAGACATAAATGATGAACAAATGACTCTATAATGACATCTTCTGAAACTATGGCAACCACAGGCCCATTCTGCTTAAAGTCATCGATTACGAGAGTCAACAGAGCTAAATATTCTTATTTTATTCAACTTGCTGTCAGGGTGGTACAGTACAATACAGATTAATACAATTATACGAAACAAAAACCATTCTATACAATACAATATGATACGATCCAATACCATTTGATACAAAACAATGTGATGCAAAACCAAGCAATACAATAGGATATGATACAATAAAACACAACATGATATAGTACAATACCAAACAATATGCCACACTACAATACTATACAGTATGCTGCGGTACTGTATGCTATGATACTAAACAACACAGTATGACATATGATACGCTACAACGACAACACGATACAATACAACAATACGACATGATATGATACGATACTAAATGATAAGCTAGAATACTATATGATATGACATGTACGATACAACACATGATGTGATATGGATCAATACCATACAATATGATACATGTAATGTGAAACAAAACCTTACTATACATCACACCTTACTGTTCCCTTGAGATCTTGCATTTTTGACTCTAGTGCCTCCATAGTAATTTCATTTGTTTTGACCAACTAGCTATTCTGGTGCCAGCTCAAATGTCAAACTGGATGTACTATGATGAAACTCTTGCCAAGTCATAGTTGGACGCTTTTTAGCTGTCAACTGACGAGTGCCAAAGTGGCTAGGTTGGCTGAAGTGGGGCACAGACTTTTAAAGGGAAGACCAGACATGGCAGAGATTAGTGGCTTACTCTAAATGCAAGTGGGTATTTCTACTTATCAGATCTATTTTATCTTCTAATATCAAAGAATGAAAAAACAAAGGTTTACTCTTAAACATGATTTTTAACTTGGCCACGGCCTCTCTTCTTTGCCTTTGCTACTTGCTTTGTTTTTGACTAAAACTAAAATCGGTAACCTCACAAAGCTATTTTTGTAAAAGAAAAGGAGGAGATGATGAGAAAAAGAGGCCTGTTCGCTGTAACAGAGGGTGTGAGCAGATAACCTTGGCCTTAAGCATTGGAGCTCTTGTTTCTCATAAGTGTTTTTACATGATTTCTCTTCAGTGGATTACTTAATGCTACAACTATTTCAAAAATGGGCTTTAAATTTCCCATGAGTTTAAAAGAAACTGTCAAAGTGTCTGTTTGTGTCTCAGTTGTTTAGTTCTTGTCCACCCTTTGTATCTGTGACCTTATGTTGCCATGAGCTGTGACTCCCATGTCAAACTGCCGTCTTTCATTGACCTCTATGAGATGGACTCTGTCCCCGTGAGCAGGACTAGCGTGGCGTGGGGTGCATGTCGTCCCCTTGGTCTTGCCAAGCAGACATGGCATTTTGGCAGAATCTCCTCCCTCTGGTCCTCCGCTCCCCCAGGACCTCCCGAGAACACAGACCTAACTTGTTTCCCATCTTCTGGGCTACAAACAGAACCAAACAAATATGCTGCACAGTGCTGCCAAAAGACCCGTCACTTAACATCACTCCTACAACAACCGCTAACTCCAGCTGTGTGTCCATCAGGCCGGCCCGCGGTCACTGTCCCAGAATTTACGGGGGCTTTCCCCGCCGCTCCGAAAGGCTATTTCCATTCCACGGTCCTCCACCTCCGCCCCCACTCCAGCAGCCCCCTGGGAGCCCCTCACTCTGGCTGAGGCTCAGGAGCATTTTGTTTGGCTTTTTTAAATCATTACAGGCCGTCACATAATCTTAAGCGAGATAATTGGATGAGCCGAAGTCTTTCAGAGCCAAGTAAACAGACAGTGTGAAAGTTCACGTGGAGCCGCCGGACTTCATATTGGATTTAGTCGGCTGATACTCACAGAAGTGATTTGTGGGTCCCCAGCCGCTCGGCCCTCATGACACCATCTCTTTCTGTTGAAGCAGAAAGCATGGGATTTCCCATACATCCATCTGATAAGAGGATATAATGTCTCTCCTCAACTATAGAGTGTCTTATTAATGATTGAACCTCTTTCTCAGATTTGTGTGAACTGGCTCTGTGAGGCCTGTAATCTCTGATGTATGTTATTCCTGGAGTTATTGTAGTTGAGAAAGAATAGAGTCAGCTGTTAGGAAGTGTCCAATATCAGAACTTGTTAGCTATCATCTGTCAATGATAAATACCTCTGGGAACAGTGGCCAGCTTTTTCAGTTTTCTAGTTAGCTAGCAATTAGCATTATATGACCTTTAGCCAAGACTTCCTTTTCTGTGCCCTTTGTTGTTTACAGTCCAGTTAGCAGCTTGTAATGCAATTGTGTTCGCAAAATAAACTCTAGATGTTGAATTAGATCACTTTTTTCAACATCAAATGCCAATTGTGACAGAGCGGGCTGCCCAATGACTGACATGTGCCGCTAGTATTGTGTTGTTATTTTGCATTGACAAAATACGATTTAAAACGCTACAAATAACAAACAAACTTGCTAACCTTACATGAATAGATTAGAAGGTAAAGAACAAAAACCAAAGAGAGTCATATATAACTTCACTATTTCATGCATATGACCAATACACAGGGTTAAAGCTCCTGTGAGGAACTTTAATTTTGTGTCCATTTTGGTGCCCCCTTGTGGACAAGTAGTCATGTTTACATCCTATATATGCTTGCGGAGAGTTTTGGCAAAAGATCTCATTCTGCTTTCTTTTGACAGGCAACTTGTTTTGAGGATTTATTTTGTGGAAATGATAAAAACAGCTGCAGTTGCTCAGTTGACACCTCCCCCCTTTGCACCTCTTTTTGACATTATAAATCATGTCCCTGACACTCTTGATTGTATTTTTTAGTCTGTTTTATTATCACCATATGGGAGCTTTTATGTTGCCAGTAACAGTTTTTAAATAGATTGTAAATTAAGTCATGAAATAGAAAAATACTTTTGGTCATTCTGTAGATTTCAGAAAATGAATGATATGTATTGATGCCAGAAACGAGACTAAATTTATCCAGAACTAAACTAAAAATGACCAATGCTCTCTTTATAGTGGGTCTCAGTTTTACAGTGAAATAAACGACACAGGGGTTATACTCCAGCCTACTGTGCAAACATGAAAAACAAACTCTGATTCATTTGATTTACTTGCAATTCAAGTAAATTAAGTTGCTTAAGTTTGCAGTGGGGTTTTAGAGTCCAGAACTCTGACTTAGTCCCTGGTTTTGAGGGTTCATGACTTGACCTGGACTCAACTTTGGACAGACTTCATCTCCATTTTCTGACTGCATTTCTAATCAGAAGATGGAGAGGAAGTCTGGAAACTGATTTATTTATTGACTGTTATTGATCTTTGCCTTTTTTTTAATTAATATGAGATATAAACTGATTGATAAACTAGCTTCAAATTAGGCTAAGTTCGCCTGCATGTACCTTTGCATTCAGTCTTATTTAGCAACAGTTGCTTTCAAGGTGTCTAGAGAGACTTATATCATTTTCCATGTTTGCATTTATTCAAATCCCAAACCATGTACATATAATCGATTTATTATACTTATTTAACTTTTTCATGCACACATATTTGCCCCATATCTCTACAATATATCTCACAAAATTATGAAGAGCAGTGGATGATGTTTAAGAATCATGGTGAAAACTGGACATCTCTCCATGCACCAAGTTTGACTTGGTGTCTGTCATTCCCCATTCTCTCTCAATATATCCTATCAAAATAAAATAAAATAAAATAAGATAAAAAAACAAGAATAATCTTCAAAAGAACGGCAGTCAGGGGCTCAAAGTTCAACACTGGGGAGTTAAGACTTGACTATGACTTGCCCTTTGGCCACTTGATGACAGCACTGGTTTGCTGAACAACCAGCTCAAATGTGGAGTAGCAGAAAGTCAAGCTTTATTAGGTGTGTCCTCAAGACATATGAGCTTGTTGAATGGAGGTCCAATCTATAATTTGTGATGCATTCCAGGAGGTCAGGAAATCTCAATGCTGATTGTCATGACACACTATTAAGCACATTTTTGTTGGCTGTATTTGCGTGCAGATATCTGTAAACTCAAATCAAATGTCAGGATGAACTGTGGTGGGTGGTTTTCCACCTGCTTTTGCTCTCCATTTAGACTGTTTTTACAGCATACATGAAAGTCTGCCTGATTGGTCAATTCTACTGGGACTACTTCAGACAGAAACCAGAACCCTTTTTTTTCTTAAATTTAGTCTCTTGTCGAAGCTTTGACATTTTCTTGTGGAGTTTTACAAGTGTCCGAGTTTACGGTCATGTTTCTCTTTTGTTTCCTGCAGTCTGAAGGCAGCAGGTCTTCAGATTTTGCCATAAATCTAAATTAACATCACTCTTGGGAACTTTATTGCCATACAACAATTTGCAGCACAAATCACAGTATTATGTCATTACACTTAGCGAGTCAGTGAATGAGTGCTTGACCACAGGCCAGACCACAACTTCTGCTTCCAGTCCAACCCTCTGAGACTCGCTCACAGGCTCACACACACACACGGAGGACAGGAAACATAGTGGATGAAGTGTCACAGTGAGGGGAGGAAGAGAAGAAAAGGCAGAAATAAGAAGAGAGTGTTAAAGTCCAAGGCAAAAATCGGGACTCAGAGCCAGATTAGGTCAGACGAAGACGAAGAAGACATGCAGTGAGCAGCAGAGAGGTTTAGGAGTGGAGCCAGCAGAGCTAAGTGGAGGTATTTTGAGTGGAGGAACACAGTGTGATCCCCCTCCTCTACGTCTGGTCCTCTTGGGGGTCTAAGGATGGGAGAGGGATCCGGGAGACTGTGTTCCCAGACGAGGATCCAGCGCAGGAAACCTCCCCTGCATTTCTCGGCGGTCCTGGCTGCTTGGAGCATCTGATAATGGCCCACCTCAAACTCTGCCCCCAACAGACACCAGACCAGAGACCACTGCGTGTCCTGGATTTGTAATGGGGGTTGACCTTTAGTCTTCATTTGCCTGAGAAATAAAAAAAATAGATGAACTGAGGAAATGCTGGAGGAAGAGAAAGGAGTTACGATTTGTTTTTTACTGTGCTACCATTCAAGGATTTTTGAGGCCTCCACTTTACTTTCAGTTTGCCTGTCTGGGCCTCTGTTCTTGCATTGAGTTCCCAGTTATATTTATATATAAGATTTTACACTCTAAATTTATGTCAACACACTACCGAGCCTTTTCTGATTCTACTTTTACTGCTTTAAAAACTACCAGGCTGGTTGCAATCGCAATTTCCCACCCAGGTCACCAAAAACCAAAACTTTCAATTTAGTTCTAAAATTTCAAAATAAAAGCGTGATTTTTCAATTCAGGAAATAGAGCAATGTTATCTTCAAATAGTTGCAGTCAAGGGGCTGGTGACAATCTGTTTACACGCAGTTGAAAAAACTGTAAACTCTTTAGTCCAACTAAAATGGCCTGAAATCGAACTTAGAGTTGGACTAACATACCTTGATAATGCAGCTGGGGATCAATTATCGCTGTCCCTGACTAACTTGTCCATTGTGCAAATAAACAGTTACAGAGATGTTTTTATAAACATTACATCAGACAGGAGACGACCTGATAGTAACAACCTAAAAAAGAGCATGTCATCCCCTATCAAAGCAAAGGGGGGCATGCTTTTGCTAGGGTGACCATACGTCCTCTTTTACCTGGACATGTTCTCGTTTATGGGGGCTGTCTGGCCTTGTCCAGGGGAGTTTATAAAATCCTTCAAATGACCGGGTTTTGTATGAAAGTTTTGAGTTTGTGTAGCGTGGACTAACTGAGTAAAAAACACTCGACCCAACCCAAAAAAACACTCAAAATTTACTTGGTGCAACTTCACGACTCCGCCCCACATAGTAGTGTCCTCTTTTTGGGGATTCAGACTAAGGTCACCTTAGCTTTTGCCAATAATCAAGTTCTTGCATGGTGCATGGAAACTGGGACAAAGAACGTAGTCCAATCAAGATGCCCGATCAAGCTAGTTATCACGCAATTGCACATGATTCCGCGGGTTCTTGTGAGTCCTTGTTAATCTGCTGATCTGGTAGGAATTGGCGCATTGCGAAAATCACCACAGTTCCGGATCGGAGCCGTTCCAGATGCAGCGTAAATCCTGGTTTAGTACGGACGACTTAAGACAGACAGTAAACTGATCAATCTGCTCCCAGACTACTGTGTTTTTATCAGTTGATCAAACTGTGAGAAAGGGAAGATCATTTCTTTCAGAGACTCTTGGAGAAAGGTCTACATACTGTTTACTCACCCAACTTTTCAATCTTGACTTTCGTATTCAGGTCTGCAATCTAAAAATTAGACAGATGAAGGCTTAAAGGGGATACATTAGCTCCTGCTTCAGCTGCCTTGTTTAAGGTTGGTTGACAGTGGAGAATGTTAAAGAGTCATGTCGTACAGTATGAGATAAACTGTACATCCACCCTGACCTCCTCGTCCTCATGTCATTTTTTGTTTGTTCAACAGCATTTCTTCTACCTTCTTCTCAGATGGATAAGTCACACACAAGACTGACTCCCAAAGAGTTCGCTGGACAGTCCCATTTAACTTCACAGCGAAAGAGTTTAAGTGAAGGGGCGCAAAGTGGAAAGGTTATACAAGCAGAAGGTCAGAGAAGGTAGAACATGCAGCGGAGCATGAAGGAGTTTAAGAGAAGGACCCAAAGGAGATTGTGAAGGTCGGAGGAGGCCAAT